GAGCACCTATGCAACAAAGTAAAAAGCTTTTCTGTTTTCTGCTGTCTACTCTTAATTATTATCATTATTATTTATTTAACTGTTTTTATCTTATTTAATTTGATTTAGAACTTTATAATTTGTTTTTACTAACTTTTATGTATAAGCACTTAAATTTGTCTTTGGCCTAAATGTGCTATTAGTAAAAACAAAGCGGTCTTCATGAATCAACTAATCAGTAAATCGAAGCACTAAATGTGTGCTTTTATAATTTACTGTACGCTTGATTATTGTGGATTTTAGACAGTGGATCATCTAATCATACAGATCCAGATAAAGTTCAGCTTCAACTGTTTTAGTTTTATAAATCAGCTGTTTTACACTTCTAAATTCTGCAAATATGTTGAGGGGAAAAAAGAAAAACACTTTTATATTTTAGAGAATTATTCAGTTTTTCAATCTTTTCAAATCAAGCAAATGTATCCTGTTTATCAAAGACAGAAGCCTGAAATGAGAGCCCATTGCACATTAACAAGGTTTGTTTTTGTGAAGCGGGTATGTCTGTGTGCTTTATGTGTGGGAGCGAGGGCATGTATTATTTGAACACTTCTATTTTCGGGCTTTTAGGCACTCCTTATTGAAAACAGCAGCAAAAGTGTCAGTATGGATAACTATAATTACAAGAGATGTTCCATTCAAGATATTCCATTTGAAGAACTGCTTGAAGGCAACACAAAGAAACAAAGACTGCTTTAAGACTGTGTTCCTCTTATTGTCTTTTATCTTGCATTCTTCACACAGTAACCACTATCTTCAACCCTAAGTGATCATAAATTATTATTTGTTTTCATTTCTGGGGATTCTCTCCACTATCTTTGATGATACCATGAAGTTCTGACAATGCACATGGTGAAATGAACAAGCTTCACTGTTCTATTTGCTTCTGCTGAAAAAGTTTTCATAAAGAGCAGTTAGCAAAGATGCTAGGCTAACTTTAGTTAATGTTTTAATACGACTTGTTGATAATTGAGCCTTTTTACATGTTTCAGGGCTGTTCCAGGTAATCTTGTGGGGGAAAAATTATGAAGAAAATTAAAACAATGCATTAAATAGCAATTTATGATCACTTAGGGTCGAAGATAGTGGTTACTGCGTGAATAATGCAAGATAAAAGACATTAAAAACCCTGCAAATGGCTTGCATCATGATTCAGTTTATTAACTAGTGTTTTATCAGCTCTTTATGCTTTCTAGGGATATTTGAGCACAGCAGGTAACAATAAACAGATAATGCGTTTCACTGAAAATGGTCAAATACACTTTGACTCTGGGAAATCCTAACTGAGGTTCATCAACAAATGATAAATTGTTTTTACAATGCATTAATTGATAATTGTTTGTTCTGTTGTACTAAGAAGCGATTTGCAATTGAGGTGGCACATAGGACAGAACTCCAACTACATGTGCAGAACTATCAGGTTTTCCTGAAACACTTTATTTCTACAAGAAGAAGCTGCATGTTTTGTAAACAAATCTGCGCCGCACATTTCTTTTATTTGGTTCTTCAGCCATGATGGTTGTAGTTATTTTTTTTTTTTAACATTATAGACCTTTGTCGGATCATACTTTGGTTTTTGGTGGTCATTTTAGTTAAGTTAAGGGCTCAGTAGTACCTTATTCAAATGCTCCTTTGCTACAGGGGTAGAGGTCAGGATGGAATGCTCATCCATACAGTACATTTAGAGCCACCTCCTCTACCAAGGACTAGAAGCCAATGAATGGTTAGTAAAGAGTAAAACGTCATGCTGATGTACATGTACACATGTGCAGACGAGACAAGGCAGGCGACCAACGGGAATAGCAAATGGAAAAATAAGAAAAATCCTTCCAATCGGAATAAATTTCTTTCCGATCAGACCAATTCTGTGTCCATGTAAACATAGATTCTGACCTGTTATTACGATCCAAACCTATCATCCTTTCTTTATTTTGCTTTAATAACAATGCCTTAATCACAAGGGTGCCTCTTGCATACAGAATCTCCATAGTTTTGCTATATATTTTTACCTTACCTTCACTGTAGATCAGCAGAGATTATAAGAATAAATGTCTGACTTGTTGGTTAACCAACCGTTTCCAACATGCAATGTGTACAACTGACTGTTGTGTAAAGCATCTTGTGGACCATGTTTGTCTTTCAGGAGGGTTTAGTTTGGCTAAAGTCACTATGAAGGGTTCTTATTTTGAAAGAATGCTTATTTTTACAGTGAAGTTGATTTATAAATATCAAGCAGTGGCCATCCAACACAGGGTAAAGTTTTAAAATGAATTCTGAGAAAAACAAATGGAACAATTAATAAAATTGACTTTTGTTCTCAAGCTACATTTACCTTGCAATGTTTTTATGGCCTAAAAAGGATGTAAAAACATTGGGAGATATTTATATATATCTCAGTTACATGTAGGATTTTATTAAGCTGTGGGGTTTTCACAAAATTTTATGTACTGTGTCAGATTGACAACTAAAATTGAACAAGCTCCTCATCTGTTTTACGTCAATGATTGTTTATATATTGTGTACATAAAGTTGTGATCATAAAGTTTGATTTGAAGTCATTTACAAACTCATTTACACATTTGTAAACAAGTTTGTAAATGACTGGTAGAAATCTTGGTCCTCTCTAAAAGTTCTAACTGTAGGAGCATAATAATAAAGAAAACTTTTTAACTCAAGCATTACCTTCAGGCTGGTAACCAGTCTACACTAGGAATGAATTGTTATGTTTGACACAGAGTTGAGTAAAATCATAAATGTCATGGCTATTCATGAACAGAAATCATATATTACTGTGAAAATACGATATCAAAAGGCTGTTTAGACTGTTTAATGAAGGGCAATGTATCCACCTGTTTAATAAAAAGGTAAAACCAGTTCTGTCATAATCTAATGCTATAAGACAAATACAGTTAACAAGGCCTTCAAGAGGGTCAGGGTGAAGTTTAAAAATCCACAAATCCTCTATGAATGCTAAAAATATGGAGACATTTATCATCCCTGGTTTAGTTTGTGCATCAGAACTAATCATGATAAGACATGATTGCACTGTTAAAAAAGTAAATGGCAATTGTTGTTCTAACACACAATTGTATTGTAATCCGACTCAGAAATATAAATTTGACATCTAACAAATAAATACACGTTTGCCCAACTCAAATTCTCAGAAGTTGGTTTAACAAGGAGTTTTAAATCGCCTATACAAGATTTTTTGAGTTCCCTCAACTGTAAACTCATGGGCATGCGCACTGCTTATGTTCATGGACACGCCCACTACGGTACGGGGTTTCCTATCCCTTTCTTCAAGGGCACAGCCTTTTTCCCTCGTGTTTGAGAAGATTGGCGGACATTGTGATTTTATGCATCTGGAGAACCACGGAGGAACGACCCTGGGACCTTACCAGTTTTCCCGGTGAGTGCTGCAAAGTACAGACAGTTAGCGGTTAGCTCCGTGAGTTAGCATTCCCTTGTGGTGTATTGCCACCGAGTTGAAGCATGAGTTCACATGTTTTTCACGTTCTGATGAAAGGAAAAGCAGCGCACGTGCACGTGTATAATGCGCGTGTGCGCGTGCGTGTTTATGCCGCGCATGTGCGGGTGAGTGTTTATGCATAGAGAAAAGAGTGTGCCTGTTATTTTCATTGTACAAATGAAAAGAGACATTAAGTTGAGTGTAATAACTTATTAAATTTCTAAATTGTTTTATGTAGTGCAGTGTTGTTGCACTCAGGCACAGAATATTACAAGACTACATTATTTTACTTTCTTAATCCGATGTGGGTATTTACTGTTATTTACATTATTTACATGTGGATTTTTTGCTTTCATGATTTTATTTGCTTTACAAGAAAAACAGTGACATTAACATTTTATATGTTAACCCTGTAATGCAGCAGTTAATTCGTAATGAGTTAGAAAAGTTACATTACACACTGAAATTTATCATACTTGGAGAGATATAAACTGTACAGTTAAGAACAAGAAGTGAATGGATTTAACTAAGCCCTGTTGTGCTATGCAGGCTGGGTTTTTTGGATACCCTGGATTCTGGATTCTCTCCTTAAATGGAGATGGCGAGCCAACCTGTGTGAACATCTGGATTTGGATTGAAGAGAAGGATTTGGACTGAAGAGGACTTTCTTTTTTTGCATTCATCGTCCTGTCGGAGTGGTAGGACTAAAAAGAAAAACTCAGAGATAAAAAGGGAAAACCTTTTTCTTTTTCCGCTGGGAAACAAGACATTTTATTTCATTTTATTTTTTTTAAAAGGGTGCACCCAATTTAAAGAGACTACAATTGAAAAAAACAAACTGAAGGCCGTCCAAATTTGTAAAACTGTTATTTTTTCATATATGTTAATACACTTACTTCACAAAAAATTACCTGTGTGTTTTCCTCTTACTAAAATGGTGTCTTACTGTTTTTTCCCTCATCATCACTCTTACGAATCTAGAACATTCTGGTCCAGTGTCATGTTACTTTGATCTGTGCAGTTAAGATTATGTTGTTGAACATGGTTTTATACTGTATCTATGCAATGTTTGGCTTGAAGCAATAAAAATGTTGTATTAACATAATTTTTTGTGTGTTGAATGATTGGTAGTGAAGACGATTGGTAGGACTAAAAAAACTGAGTTGATAGAACTCAACTTGCAGATAACACTACAAAATCTGAGTTTGTAGAACTCAAAATCTATATGTCAAACTCATAAAACAAAGTTGATAGAACTCAGAACTTAAAGGTGAAACTCAAAAACCTAAGTTGGTAGAACTCAAAATTTCTATGTAACACTCCAAAAACCTAAGTTGGCAGAACTCAAAAATCTTTGTAAACTCCACCACAGTGAATTTAAGTAAGGAAAACTCAAAAAACCAAATGCATCACGTTGCCTAGAAAATGTAAGTTCTGTCAACCTCTATTTTTTTTTCAGTGTGTGTACAACTTCGAAGACTGGAGTTCTACCTACCCTCAGAACTGATCTCACGGGACCGGACGAGGTCACTCTTGTTGCCCACCAGGATGATGGGGGTTTGTGGCTGGGACTCCCTGAGAAGGAGGCGGAGCTGGGCGGTGCGGTGAAAACTTCGCCTATCAGTCACTGAGAACACCAAGATACACACATCACACTGCAGAGTGGACAGGTCCTAGGGATGGCAAACAAACACACATACATGTATAATGATTGCAGTAATACAGTAGATCAGGTTAGTTCTCACACAATAAGGAGAGATCAAGTTACAGTAGCAAGACAGGTGTGGAATGTCAGGTAGACACTACATGCAACACAAGATCTCTTGCATGTCATAAATAGATAAAAAATATTTTCCCTGAACATTTTTGTTCTCGATGACACTGAAGCTGCTGACATGTTGGCATCAGAGACGTTTTTATCACTGTCCCATGAGGGGACTGTGTGTCTGCTTCACTTTGATTCTCCTGAACCTCTTAGCGCTGGCCGCTAAGAGTCAGTCAGGGCTTCTTGTCACAGAGGCTCAATTAGTAAGAGTGGCTCTGTCACAAACAGCAGCTTGTAGCTGCCTTCAAGTATATCTGTGCTCTCCAGTTTTTCCTTCCTGGTTCAGTCAGCTGAATTTACACTGGACTGATGGAAGTCAATCAGTACAAACTGAGCCATGATGAGATTTGGACATTTGCTCCTGTGTTTGCTAATCTTGGCCAAATATTACGTAAAAAGTCTAAGAAAAAAAAAGGTCATATCCAAAGATAATCTGTAGACAAGCTGATGTCTTACTGACCCGATTGTTCATCCTTGTGCCTAAATTATATTATCTTCTTAATCTGGTGTAGTTCAAAATGTAAGACCAAAGATTAAGTTCGGCAAACTGATATCTCTGTGTTTGCAATTAAATGTAAAGCAATAGTGGATTAAACTATGACCTCATCGTCTTGTCAGCAAAACATTCAATAAAGGTGGATGATGAGGACTAGAGTAGACCAGTCTCATCTAAAAGCAGATGCAAGCGAGCAGCCTCAGTAGGAATACTGTTGCAAGAAAGTAACAGACCAAGACATTAACAGAAGTAGAAGATATTCTTTCTTTAAATATGGATTCAACAACAAGAACATCTTTCACAAAACATGCCAATCTACCACTGATAATATGTTCAGAGCATAATTAGAAATAGATAAATAGTAGTAAATTCTATCTGTAGAAGAGGCTTTGGACTTTCCATGCCAGACTTTACAAAATCATTTATGAGTTTCAAAGGATGTCCCACCATATTTTTTCTTAACCAAATAGAGTAGAGAAGTGTCTGAATTCCTGATCAATGATCATTATTAAGGTATAGATTTAAGAGAGTCAAAACATTTCAACAAAATCCCCAAAACAGTGAAGGAATGATTGCAATATTCACCTCTCCATCTGTTCTTGAGTTCTGCTAGTAACTGGCTTTGGGGAGTCTCCTTATTTTTTTTTCAAAATTGCAAAATAAATAAATACATTTTAAACAGTTTAAAAGTTTCTACTTGGGAAAAACAGTGATTGTGTGATAGTTAAAGAAGCAATATCCACTACACTTATGGTTTTGCTGGTTTTAAAATTACAATATTCCACATAATTAATCAGTCAAAACTAGCTTTTAGCCACTGTCAGTTCTGTATTTCTGTACCCTGTCCAATTAGCCTGAATTAAATGGTGCATGCTGTGTTATTTGAGCTAGAGATGCACCAAGAGGTCAGTAAAAATATTTGAGTGTTTCCAGGTCTTATGAGAAAGCAACTGTTCATTAAAATTGAGTAAGTAAGTAAGTAAGTAAGTAAGTAAGTAAACTTTATATGTATAGCACTTTTCACAGACAAAGTCACAAAGTGCTTCACATGATAACACAAGTAAAAACAGATAAAATGCAATAAAAGCTATAATAAATAAGGGAATAAAACAACAGGCTATGTGCTTTGGAAGGATAGTGAAAACAGGTGTGTGAAAAAAATTGAGCAGATAAGTCTGACTTTCTGGTAGAATCATTCATTTGGGGATACAAGCATGAAATCTGGTGTGATTCTGCAGATAGTGGTGGTGCGAATGGTGGGTCCTGGTATCTAAAAACCCATAGCTCTGGGTTGATGGAACTCATTAGCCGGTAAAGGCACTTTATCAAGCAGAAGGAGAAGACAATGGAATATCAAGTAGAAGTTTGCATGTAATTCACTACCAGGGCACACTTGTGGCACACACAGTTGTACAAATAAGCATGGGGGTCAATATCAGCTAACCTTCAGGTTAAGTATCCCAAATGCTATCTAATGAGCCCCAGAGACATTACATAACTGCACCTGAATTGACAGGTTGTACCAGCGCGGATCAGCCGAGCCACGAATAACCGGGGCATTCAAAGTTATCTGGAAGTGGGAGAATAGTATGAATCTCATTTATTTCATACATCAAAGTGAACAGAAGGTGTTAAAATTATAAATCCTTGGCCTATGTCAATTTGAAGTGTACTCTATCATGGATAGGAAGACTGATGGAAGACTGACTGGAGCAAATTCTGCCTTTGTTAGGAGGACAAAGAAAATAAAGCACTGATTTGACTGCTTGGCTTATTTCAGAAAGCACAGGACTACTCTGGTTACACATCAGGCACAAGCACATCAGGTGACAGAGAGGAAGACCATGCCAAGAGATCCAAAAACTCATACCCTCAAAAACTGAGTTTATTGTGCAAAAAAGTGGATGAAATATCAAATCTAAGAAAAGCAGTGAAAATGCAGCTAAATGAAGATGGTCAACCAATGTGCTGTGTTTTTCATGCCTTGCCTAGGTGGAAGGTTTAAACAGCACAGTAAAAAGAAACCATGGAAAACATGGAATGTCAATTATGAAGCTTCAGCAGTCAGCGGCCATCCAAAGTTGAGGGTCTGATCTACAAGTTTTGGAGCAATATGTTGTTCTCATGTATGACCGGTCCAGTAAAACTAAATTTGTAGATTAGTCTAGGCTTGATCATTTTGCACAGAAGCAAAGGTCACATGACTTAATACCACCAACACAAAGCACACTGAGGGAACACTCCAAACGAGCATCCTATCAGGTAGGACATATTTGGGTTGCATGTAATTCACTACCAGGGCACACTTGTGGCACACACAGTTGTACAAATAAGCATGGGGGTCAATATCAGCTAACCTTCAGGTTAAGTATCCCAAATGCTATCTAATGAGCCCCAGAGACATTACATAACTGCACCTGAATTGACAGGTTGTACCAGCGCGGATCAGCCGAGCCACGAATAACCGGGGCATTCAAAGTTATCTGGAAGTGGGAGAATAGTATGAATCTCATTTATTTCATACATCAAAGTGAACAGAAGGTGTTAAAATTATAAATCCTTGGCCTATGTCAATTTGAAGTGTACTCTATCATGGATAGGAAGACTGATGGAAGACTGACTGGAGCAAATTCTGCCTTTGTTAGGAGGACAAAGAAAATAAAGCACTGATTTGACTGCTTGGCTTATTTCAGAAAGCACAGGACTACTCTGGTTACACATCAGGCACAAGCACATCAGGTGACAGAGAGGAAGACCATGCCAAGAGATCCAAAAACTCATACCCTCAAAAACTGAGTTTATTGTGCAAAAAAGTGGATGAAATATCAAATCTAAGAAAAGCAGTGAAAATGCAGCTAAATGAAGATGGTCAACCAATGTGCTGTGTTTTTCATGCCTTGCCTAGGTGGAAGGTTTAAACAGCACAGTAAAAAGAAACCATGGAAAACATGGAATGTCAATTATGAAGCTTCAGCAGTCAGCGGCCATCCAAAGTTGAGGGTCTGATCTACAAGTTTTGGAGCAATATGTTGTTCTCATGTATGACCGGTCCAGTAAAACTAAATTTGTAGATTAGTCTAGGCTTGATCATTTTGCACAGAAGCAAAGGTCACATGACTTAATACCACCAACACAAAGCACACTGAGGGAACACTCCAAACGAGCATCCTATCAGGTAGGACATATTTGGGGACAATGTGTCATCCCTCAGCTAGAAGTTCAGGGTCCATCCAAGTGGGGGTGGTCGAAGGAAGATGACAGCACATAATGTTGAAAAAATAACATGTGATTTAATATTTGGTGACAAGCATCTAATTTTTCTGAGAGTTGGAATTTGCTGGACTAAGGGTGATGAAAGGACCCTTTGTTTCATGTCTAAAGGAAGATAGACATCATTTTCTGTTTATGTTTAAAGAGAATGGACTGTTCATGAACTCAGATAACATCATGTACATATTGAAAATGAGTTAATCAAATGTGATTTTAAACTCAGTTTAGTTGTCGGTGAAAAAAAGGAGTCGAATATAACATTAAGCTTCTAATTCAAGCACATGTAGGTCAATAATTCAAACCTTGGCATACATAGCATGTAAAAATGTCATTTGACAGCCATTTTGAAAAATGGTCACGTTTTTCTAAGCTAAGAGAGGAAAATACCTACCCCTGTCATATTCAATGGAGTAATAACAAAGACAAGTATAATCTTTCTCAATAAGAACCACTTTGGACATTTCCAATAACAATACCTTGACAAATATGGTCAATTTAAGGGTCATTTGGTGGCCATCTTGGAAATTGGCCATCAATTTCATTGGCTAGCCCTTTTTTCTTAAAATTTTATATAAAATGAACATTTGAGCAACTTTCCATGCTTCTATCATCAAAATGAACTAATGTTTGCATTATCTGCTCCACTAGTAGGGAAAAAATTACTTTGGGAGGAAAACTCAATATTACCATTTTCAGAATCCTAAATGTGTTTTGATCAACTCAAAGGAAGCAAAGAAATGTAAGGTTATGAAGGCAGCAAGAGAGAGAGAGAGGAGAGAAAGAGAGAGCAGTGCTTTCAGCAAACAATAGGGAGCTGGACATGGTAAGGGAACCCTTTGTTTTATCCTTTTGAGCCTTCAGCTTTTATCTATAATGAATAAACAAGAACTGGACGTTTTCCCAGTCTTTTTCAAATCTTAGAGTTAAAGAATGGATCTGTAGTGTCAAGAAAACGTGCAAATACTGTTGCTTTAGTAATGCTGTACTAACAGTGCAAGACCCTCTAATGACTAATATAGGCTCCTAAAGAAAAAATAAAAAAACATTTTGTTTTTATCTAAATAAAACATTATTTCACCGCT